CACACACACACACACACACACACACACACACACACACACACACACACCTGGCCAGTGGAGATGGACGCTCCCTTGAGGCGAGCACGAATAAGTCCAGACCGCTGTTCCATCCTCACCACTCTGACAGGAACCTCCAGCCTTCTGACGTACTGTTCCAACGGCCGCTTTAGGAAATCTTAACCACACAAATAAACACATAAATGCAAAATAGGAATCCAATAAACACACAAGCACAGACAAACGCACACACACAGACAAACACACACACACGAAAATGGATTACGAGCCAAATTATTCCCTTTGTAGCAACAGAGATCAAAGGTAACTGTGCGCTTGTGTTTTTGCTTGTACATATACCATACATATACCCTCTGATTTGCACTATCCAACCTGAGGTCCCATAGGGTGAGATGGTGCTGTGTGGTGGCGGATGGGGGGGGGGATTGAGGGTAATAACAGAGTGTAATCCCTGCGGCTGGCGAATTAAAGACCTAATCTCCCCCAAACAGGGATTAGCAGCATTGCACAGGGTGGAGTGGCACACACAGGCCATATATGCTGACTGGCTGTTGGGCACCACAGCGCAGACACACTCACACTCGCATACATGCACAAATACAGCTACCCACAGAAACTCAACAAAATCATACAGTAACGCTAAAAAATAGGCTAAGCCTCAAACAAGAGGCACAAGCGGTGAAGGAATTATCTGCAGTGTGTGTGTGTGTGTGTGTGTGTGTACCTCTCTCGCTGGCATCGTCCACCAGGACAATCTCCTCCAGCAGTGTGTGAGGTGATCGGTCGATGACGGAGTGGACGGTTCGCAGCAGTGTGCTCCACGCCTCGTTGTGAAATACAATCACTATGCTGGTACGGGGAAGATTATCGGGATACAACTTGTTCTTACACCTACAAAGAGAAAAGGAAACAATCAGAAAGAAAAAAAGAAAAACTTTAATGCTAAAAAAGATGCTTACAATGTGGAACGATAGACACTTAACGCAACTACATATATGGATACAAAGCAAATTTCAAATCAACAGACACTTTCAAAATGACAGCAAGAGGTGTGAGAATGGCATTGAAAACCAAACACATGCGGTCGCACAAAGACAACCACATGTGCGATGATGAGTGAAGTTGTCGGCTTTGAACACAGACAAAAACACAGAGTGAGATGAGAGAAACAATCCAGCCTCTGTCTGATAGTGAGAGACTGCTACACAGAGCTGCAGCTGAAGTGAGTCCATACAACAGAGATCTGAGGGAAACAGCTGGGACTTCATCAACATCAACTAAACAGCATGAGTCAGTCATGGAATCACTGCATTCATCAGATCGTCATATACAGTGGGTACGGAAAGTATTCAGACCCCTTTAAATTTTTCACTCTTTGTTTCATTGCAGCCATTTGCTAAAATCAAAAAAGTTCATTTTATTTCTCATTAATGTACACTCAGCACCCCATCTTGACAGAAAAAAACCGAAATGTAGAAATTTTTGCAAATTTATTAAAAAAGAGAAACTGAAATATCACATGGTCATAAGTATTCAGACCCTTTGCTGTGACACTCATATTTAACTCACATGCTGTCCATTTCTTCTGATCCTCCTTGAGATGGTTCTACTCCTTCATTGGAGTCCAGCTGTGTTTAATTAAACTGATTGGACTTGATTAGGAAAGGCACACACCTGTCTATATAAGACCTTACAGCTCACAGTGCATGTCAGAGCAAATGAGAATCATGAGGTCGAAGGAACTGCCCAAGGAGCTCAGAGACAGAATTGTGGCAAGGCACAGATCTGGCCAAGGTTACAAAAGAATTTCTGCAACACTCAAGGTTCCTAAGAGCACAGTGGCCTCCATAATCCTTAAATGGAAGAAGTTTGGGACGACCAGAACTCTTCCTAGACCTGGCCGTCCAGCCAAACTGAGCAATCGTGGAAGAAGAGCCTTGGTGAGAGAGGTAAAGAAGAACCCAAAGATCACTGTGGCTGAGCTCCAGAGATGCAGTAGGGAGATGGAAGAAAGTTCCACAAAGTCAACTATCACTGCAACCCTCCACCAGTCGGGCTTTATGGCAGAGTGGCCCGACGGAAGCCTCTCCTCAGTGCAAGACATATGAAAGCCCGCATAGCCCGCACAGACTATGAGAAATAAGATGCTCTGGTCTGATGAGACCAAGATTGAACTTTTTGGCGTTAATTCTAAGTGGTATGTGTGGAGAAAACCAGGCACTGCTCATCACCTGCCCACTACAATCCCAACAGTGAAACATGGTGGTGGCAACATCATGCTATGGGGGTGTTTTTCAGCTGCAGGGACAGGACGACTGGTTGCAATTGAAGGAAAGATGAATGTGGCCAAGTACAGAGATATCCTGGAAGAAAACCTCTTCCAGAGTGCTCTGGAGATCATGACTGGGCCGAAGGTTCGCCTTCCAACAAGACAATGACCCTAAGCACACAGCTAAAACAACAAAGGAGTGGCTTCGGAACAACTCTGTGACCATTCTTGACTGGCCCAGCCAGAGCCCTGACCTAAACCCAATTTAGCATCTCTGGAGAGATTTCAGTTATTTCAGTTTTTCTTTTTTAATAAATTTGCAAAAATTTCTACATTTCTGTTTTTTTCTGTCAAGATGGGGTGCCGAGTGTACATTAATGAGAAATAAAATGAACTTTTTTGATTTTAGCAAATGGCTGCAATGAAGCAAAGAGTTAAAAATTTAAAGGGGTCTGAATACTTTCCGTACCCACTGTACGTCTCACCAAAAATCATATTTTTATCAACTTCAAACACTGAAAACTGAGGGTGAATAATGAGCGAGCAGCCGAGCGTGTATTCCCAAATTTAGACGGAGACAGACAGAAATAGCGGGTCAGCATGATGACAGTTGATTGGTGATGCTAATTAGAGTGTGAGTCATTGTCATCGCAGTGTAGAGCACACACTTCAAAACTCTCTTATTGAGAAACACACAGGGACCTAAATGTCTGCCAGAGGAGAGCATGCATGATGGAGACAAGAGAAGACGGATGTTGGTGTCACACACTTATTTAAATAGTTCTCCACAGGATTCGCTGGTTGCATTGTTTACCCGATTAGATACAAAGTTTGTGCTGTTTAAATTACACCCGACCACTTTTCAAAGCATAGTTGTGAGTTTAGGATTAATTTTGTTTCCCCCTGGCAGCCATTGATGAAGGTTTATTCTATTTGAAAATCATCTTGTGGAGATTTTAAACTTGCTTGACTTAGTAATAAGTCAAACGTAATGAACCTTTAAAGCAGTTGCCTTCATTTATTATTTTCCAAAACGTTCTTATCACTGTTTTGTGGTAAAGCCGCACACATTCCCATCCGACTATAAAAAGGATTCTTTAAAGTAAATTTCCAGAAAATCGACGGCTGTATTGTATGATATGTATCACTCTTATGATACATTGTTATGCACAATAACAGAAGATTGCATCCATACTGCAGCTTATAAACACTTTTATTACTTTGGCCGACAAAAAACTGTTTTAGGGTTGCAAGAAAGACAATCTTTCAATTTGCGGGCTCCTACAAGAGTGATTGATGACATTTTAGGCAGTTTAATTTCAGTGTTATGCAGACTCCATTAGATGCTGCACACAACACCACACAGTCACACAATACACTGCATTACAGTACAGCGCCTCTTTGCCAAAGCTCTACAGAATGTTGTTACATCCTGTTAACCCTTTTAAGGCAAACAAATCTTTCATAATCATCTCACCAGCAGCTTCGAAAGCATGCTTTTATTATTGGAAATAACTCGCATATTACTGACGGATTGATTTGCACAACAGATGGCAGAAAATATAGACTGATACACTTCCAAATGAATGATAAATGTTGCTCTCCAACAAAAAAACATTAAGCACGCGTCAGTTTTGCTGGAGAACAAGTTAGAGTCCCGGGAGAACGAGACACACGTCTGTAGGTCAACAAACACCGCAGCCTGCAATTACACCTGCCAGCAAGCTCTCCGACCTTAAGCTGTCTCACAGTCAAAGCGTTTAAAGACGCTCAGTGAGCTGCACAAATGCTCATCTATTCACAACAATACTGAAGGCAGCTCGCGACTTCCTTCCGCTGACAGATTAAACAGCCAAATGGAATATGATCCTCCCTCCCTCTGATCATCCAGAGCGCTGGAATGCTTCCTCTCTCTCTCTCTCTCTCTGCTGCTGATTCTGACAGAAGGAATGTAACAGCGACGGAGGAGAAGAGGTCAAGAATAATCTCCATCCTGCAGCTGCCTCTGGAGCATGTTCAATAACTCACACACAGTGATTCTCAGTCCGTGGTGTGCATTGTGTGTTAGTACTCTCTGCAAGGAAGGGAGGTTGATGATCGCACGAGATGATTCACTGTAAAAACAGAGTCCTTTAGCTTTCATACACGGCAGTTCATCTTCTCTCTCTTCTCTGTTCTCACAAACACAAACAGAACAACCAAGACTTTACACTGTTCAGACACAATCTTCACTGTGCAGCTAATGGAAAACAAAACCTCTGGGTCCACCAAAACAACACGCGTTGACACATGATGGCATGAACGCATCACGTCACATGATGTGGATTTTAACTACAGAGGAGTGGTTGTGAGTCCTGTGTATCCAAACAGTTGCTGGAGCAACTTTTGGCAACAGCAGAGCGGGGTAATGAGTTGCAGGCCGTGTCTCCAACCAGTGGATTATGGGGATGGGCGGGCTGACTGGTTCCGATTTAACTGCATCACTCTTGCAACATTAAACTAAGGCAGGCGCGCGCGCGCACACACACACACACACACACACACACACACACACACACAAATAAATCTATATACTATGTGCATTCTCATAAAAATGCTGCAGTCAGGATCTAAAACAGGAGACCATTTTAAATTGTCTGAAAGGTGTTGTCATGGAAAGTGTTTTCATAGACTGTAGATCCACCCAAGCACATGTACACACACACACCATTTTTTTTTTTAGAGTCAATGACTGCACTGCCGACAATAATGAAAACAAACCATCAGCGAGTTTTCACTTCAAAGTTTCAGCTAATGGTGAGCTGCTTGGCGATGATGAAGTCATTCACACAGTTTCCCTATACCTGCCGAGTCACACACACCAATAAACACAAACAAACGCGGCACCTACACACACCGACACATTGCCTTGCTCGATATTGACTCGGTCTTATCTCCTAATTGGAAAAGCAGATAGACGGAGAGAAGGCTGAGTGAAAACACACCTCGTAATCAACTCTCGCTCGAAGACTAAAACCCATTTCACGGATCAATGTCCTTCTTCTTTCCCGCCCGTCTAGTGTGCATGTGCCCCTGCCTGTCAGTCTTGTGTCTGTCAGTCAGTCTTTCTGTCGATCGCTTAGAAAACCCTCATTACCGATCTATGCATGTTCCACTGCTGAAGCGCATTAAAAAGGGGGCAGAGGGGGATTGGAGGCCGAGCTGGTTCCCACCTGCTTGAACTAACCTTGACATATCTTCCAAGCTGCTTGTTGGATGCACACCTGTCTGCTGTTCTCTCTCTGCCTGTCTGATGACTGAACAACCTGCATCCACAGGCACTGACAGACACTTAAGTGAGACTAAACTCCTCATCGCACATTGCTAGTGTTACTGAAGCAAAATATAAAAGGGGCAGCATGATATTGTATCAGCACCTCCTTAATGTAATGTGTTTACTTTTGAAACAGTGAGGGATCAGTCTTTAAAAGTGAACCACTGGGCCATTGAGATAAAGGCAGTGATATTTGAGTACTAGTTACATACTCCATACCAAGTGTGAGCAGGTTTTGAGTCTGTACTGTGTTCACATACATACATGTATGCATGTATGCATGTCTGTATGTAAGTACAGTATGTACTGTATGTCTGTCTGTTGCCAAATTGAACCAAACGCTGACTACAGCGGAGTCTGTGGGTAAGAATGTCGGTAGGAGGAAAAGCAGCCTGCGGTTAATTTGGCAAACAGAGCTACTGTCAGAGGTGATGGGGCTGATACAGATAACAGAGCTAACAGCAAATACAACTAGACACACAGCAGGACGTTAAACAGTCAACATGAATCTTTACACAGTGAACTGCAGTTGAGCTGCACGGAGCAGACGGCTGCATAGATTTAAATGAGAACGTATCGAGACAATAATATAAATGCCTCTCTACCCTCACTTATGCATCCATACATCTGTCTCGCTCTATGTCATTAATCATAACCATAACTACCCTTTGCAGTGGCTCACTGTGTGACTGACTTCAGGTTTCAGGCCAGACTTCTGGCTTGCGGTTCATCACTGATCACCAGTGTGACTGTCTCAACAGACAATGCCAGTGAGAGCCATTCTGAAGGGAACTTCATGAATGGAGTAAGTGACAAAACAGGACAGATGACTAGCTGCAGGCCGGCTGCTCACCCTTCCAGGCGGACGTCAGGCAGTGTCCGGTTGAGAGCGATCATCTCCGAGGCCATGAGGTTGAACTGGTTGATCTTAAACATCTCCTTCATCTTCTCCTGGTTGTCCTTTGGGATCACCACAGGCTTTCCGCCTTCTCCGGGCCCGTCCCGCGGCCTGGTCAGGGTATCTGCGACAGATACACACACACACACACACACACATAAAACACACACACACACACACACAGTGCGCTGGAGGATGTCAGAGTGTGTCTCTATGATGACATATGTGTGGCAATATACACTCACCGTGTCTCCCTGGCAGTCCTCGCTCTTTTTTGTCGTCACACTTGTTGCACTCGCTGAAGTAGAGCAGAATGAACATATCCAGCATCACCCACACCAGAGAAGTGGCCAAAACCACCTTACAGTAAGCGAACCTCCGCATCCTAATGAAGTAACGAGAGACAGAAGGGGGCAAGAGAGGAATGTTAAGGCTCTGGCTGAGGTGAGGAGAGATGGCGAGCCCGAGCAGCACACACAATCACAGGCTTTTTCAAAGGTTCTGCAGAAGAGATGCTTTATTTCTCCTCACTCCCTTAAACCTCCACCCCTCCCACATTTCTACGCTGAAGTATCTTCCCAATGCCTCCATTTGTCTTCCCTCCCACCTGTCTGTCTGCCCATTTGAATCTCAGCTCTTATCTGTCGGCTGTTTATCAGCGCCGGTCCAAATGGTCACCTTCACGCTCAAGAGAGAGCCTCAGAATGAGCACTGTGCAGTGCTGGATTTCTGTCTTACATCATTCAGACACAGAAATAGGATATCTATGAGGGCGTATGTCAAAGTTGATGGGTTAGTTTTGTGTCTGGCACCATTATAAGCACGGTGAACATTGACGGATGTTTCATGGTATCTAAATAAAGCTTTAGCTGCTATCAAGTATCGAGCAAATGTATACGCCGTTCTCAAGTGCAAGCCGATCTACACTCTTTACACATGCAACATACCAAATCCCTGTGTGCTAAAGTGCAGCTAGACACACACTTGCAGGTAAGCACGCGCACATGGAGCAGAGAGCGAGAGCGAGAGCGAGAGGAGCTGTGATAGTAATTGCTTTTCTTTGGCAGGCAGTGAGAGACAGACACAGCCACATTAAAATTCCTCTGCTCCCCTTTCCTTCTCTCCTCTAGCACCATCTCTCCTCTCTTTGGCTGATTCTCTGCTCCACTGATCCCTCAGGTTGCAGCAGCACAAGCAGAAGGGAGAAAATTAATTTGGTTACGGTGATTTCTTTCTTGCACCTGGGAGGGAAAAGAAAAAAAAAAAAAAAAGTGTTTGTGCATAGTTAGCTTAGCTTAGTTTAGCTTTGCGTAGCAGCCGAGGAGGATGGAGAACTGCAGAGAAGCATTTCTAAATTCCTCCTGATAGGATTCCAGCAGCACAAAGTGCCGTCCACAGCAGAAAACAAGAGTGGCAATGTGTTCTCTCAAAGTTTCTCTTTTTTTTGCCTGTTGAGCCAGAGTTTCAGTGTCCACAGTTTGACCAGTTCTAGCAGGTTAAAGCTATGTACTGTCTGTCTGTACAGCCAGGAAAGTTGTCTCTGCGCACAAATATCACACAATAAAGGAAAACATAATGCTGACCACTATCATCATGATAATTATTTAAAAAAACTACTTGCAATTGTGAGGCTGCAACAAATAGTCAATAACCAGGAGCACTATTATGTGACATGGTCATGACAACTGCTGTAGTTTGATAAAGAGCTCATTACTCTCAGATGCTCTCTGACCGCGAGACATGTCGCAGCTCTTATCAGGCGTGTCGTGTAATTCACAGGAGTTTTGTAACCTTGCAAGATTCTATCTCTCATGTTGACAAAGAGAAAATGGTGCATAGAAACCACCAGCAGATGAATGCAACGCTCTGATCTTTCCTTCCCAGAGAAGAAAATAATTCGATAAAATCAAGTGAACTACAGCAACAATGGGTTCGACAAGGTTGATGCAAGTGCATCATGTCACGGCTGTTTAAATTTGGCTCTCAGGCAGCTGCAGATTGAATCAAATAAAAAATTTGGCTCTTGGTTTGCAAGTGTCTTTTCTACATGAAGAACGATTCATGATCATTTGACTTTGGCCTTTTTAACTTTACAAGTAAATCAGCTTTCCTGATGCCTCACCTCTGCAGCTCCAGACACACTGAAACATGAGATGGTGGAAATAAAAATTACACCCGTTTAATGATACATAATACACAAAGCTATATATGTACAGCTTTACAAATATACGATATGAAACATCTGCCATTATTTGAATAAATCATAAGGCATTTTTGAAGCAAAAACAATAAACCGCTTTTCTTTATGTTGTGTGATAATAAACTCATCTTTGGGTTTTGGACTGAACTTTGTAAAACACAACATGACATTTCAGGATGTCACCTCGGGCTCTAGGAAATTGTGACGAGCAATTTTAACAATTTTATGAACTTAACAATTGATGGAGAAAATAATCAACAGACAGTCTGATTTAATATTGGTTATTTGCCCTCGTGTTATTTTAATCAAATAGTTTGCAAAGTTTGGTTTGCTGAAATGTAGTTGTTATAATAATTCATTAAAAAAAAAAGAATAAAGTCAAATGTTATCAAATCTCCAACCATGATTTTTTTTTCATTAAGTACTTCTTTATTGTTTTAAAATGAATGGATTAAAAAAATCTAAAGATTGATCAACACGATAAAGTATATTTGCAGTCCTGAGCACTTATTACACACATTTATTTGTAGTTTCACAAGAACTTCATATACAGTAATAATAATTTGATAATTTTCACACAAGGCATCCTGTGTGTGTGTGTGTGTGTGTGTGTGAGAAAGTATGGCATGTTCACACCATTGCCTGCACTTATGGTTCACAAACAGGTTCCTACTGCAGCTAAGAGAGAGCACATTGATTCTATACGGTCTGTTACTGTATCAGCTTTCACCCTTGTTGTTTTATACGTCTACTTTCTTTGATATATAAACTCTGTACTTTTCTGTAAGCCTCAGTTAAGGACCCGGGTTTTCTACATTTTTCAGGGTTCCCACTACATCCCTGATACTCTTACAACTCTAAGACAGTTTGGTGTTAGACTATGGTTAGACTATGGTTAGGACCAACACAAAACAAAATAAACGTGGTAGTTATAAAACACAATCTGGTATTTTCCTGTAACAGCACGTTCATTCCCAGATCCTCCCGGATATCCTCAAAGAATTCATCAAATTGCTCGTCTCACTGTTCGGATCACTCCTCTCAGAATTCTTGAGATTCCAGTATCAGTGGGAAGCCTGACATTCTACCCTTGTCTACAATCTCTCTCCTCTCCGTCTCTCTGACCACTGCTGGACTGTACCCGCCTTGCATCACCTCCAATCAGCAACATGACACAACCTGATATCGCAGCAGGAACGTGGATCCTTTTCACCTTTCCTTGCGCACAAGCAGAGCTAGGCACATGTGCCAAACACATAATAGCGCACTTGGGAGGAGACACCGACATGGAGGCACTCCGTCACGGAAAGGCACACGCATATATTCTCGCTCACAAAGTCGTATCAAAACGCCGTCAGAGACGTCGACTGGTTTCCCTGAATGCCATTTGATCACAAGCAGATATGAAAGAAGTAGACAGCGGCGCTTCGAGCGGCAGCAGAGAAGGTTTATATGCGCTTACGTTGACTTAACACACTTTCCCATCGCCGTCTCTCAGCCGTGTCTCTCCACTCACTGTACTTCTAATCAGGCATGGCAGAGGACACCTCAGGTCTGCTCTGTGCTCACTGCAGCCCCCGGGGCCCTGCTTCCTCTGTGTGTGTGTTGCTGCACGTGTGTGAATGTGAGGCAGTTTAGTTTATGTTGGGCGCTAGTCTCTTTGAAGTCTCCTTTAAACAGCCTGGCTCCCTGTGACATTAAACAGACACACACATCTTCATCCCTCCGTCTCTCCCTAATCCCTTAACAGATCACATTCCCTCCATCTTTCTTTTATACCTCCATCCTGGGCATTTCACTCTCAGCCACGCCGCCCCCCCCCACATTCGTTTCTTAGTGATGTCGTCTCTTTTCAAGAGCGGTTGCCATCACTACTTCCCTACAAGAACACAATTTCCCCCTTCACATCCTTCCCTCTGTCTCTCTTCGTTTCCCCTCCTCCTCTTCTCCACGGGCTTAATCCCTCTTTAGAGATTGCACAACCAAGAGTTTCTCACAACTACTTGTAAAAACTCTGACGCGAGAGAATCACTCGCTTCACAATTTATGAGTGGGAGTTGGGAGCCTCCCTTCTGGGGATTTCATGTTTATGTGTTTAAAAAGTAAATTAAGAGGGAGGGAGGAAGATAGTAAATATGAGGGAGTGCCAATGAGAGAGAAGGATTTATGTGTTTACTAATCAGCACAAAGTTTGTGCTGCTAATTCGTATAATAAACTACAAACAGTGTATTTGCTTGCTCTCTGTACCGCCTAGTTTATACTCCATGAAACCAGATGCCTTTTAATCAGACTACTTCATCCGTCATAAACAAGTGTGTAAAAATGCATGTTGCTGTTTGAAGCATCTTCAATGAGAAAACAGAGACGGTGCTATTCAAGTGCACAAAGGGTGGGGGGGTGGGGGGGGTCAGTTCATTTGCAGGTCATAACCGTGACTGCAGAACACTACTGGTCCAGAGAGGAAGGAAGGACTGGTACAGAGAGAGAGAGCTGCCATCGCTTTATAGGGAGAAAGAGAGTCGACACTGTACACAAGCCTGTGGTTGTAGTCACAGAATGTGTTGTGTGATTTACTACATATACGAGTATATTCTCATTTATATATACAGACATACAGACAGGGTTTGTTTCGCAGTGTTTCATAGCAAAGGAGGACCACCTCCTCATGAAAGTTAATATGCTTTTAAAGAAATAAAACATGAAGCTTTAGTGAAAAGAGCAGAGTAGGTATTTCACACAACTGCAAACCTACTGGAGTAGAAAAGAAATAGAAACGGAGGGCAGAGCGATGCAAAGCAGTGCAGCTCCATTCAGTTTGCTGCTCCGACAGTCTTTGCTCTGGAGTTGGAAGTTACGGACGTCGGCTACAGTGCTTTGGAACCAGATGCTGGTTCACGCTCCTCTACTGTACAGTAGGATTCATTCTTTTCAGCAGTCACGCAAGCAAGACGTCCCTCAGCGAGCTAGGATCTTTTAAACTGAGGCAAACTCTTTACTTCTTTGACTGTGAGGAAATCTGATGTTTTCACATCACAGATGAACAAAGGCATTGAAACCGGTTGAACATGAGACTGCTATAGGAGTTCAGTGTGGGGTGGTGCACTGGACTGGACTGTAACTGGTTGGAGTTTGTCTCATAAAACATATTTCTCATAATTGTAGTAGAGTCTGGAGACGGATCCTTAAGGGATTCTTATTAAAAGTGCGTGAGAGAGAGAGAACATTTTTAAAAACTAAATAAGTGTAAATAAGGCAAAGAGTGAAGCGTAAAAAGTCCCAGCTGAAATAGATTACCAATGCAAAGCTTGGCACAGGCTCAAAGTGGAATTAAACTATTCAATTTCTAATCACTCGGGTATTCTCGGCCAAAATCAATATACGTTATTGTCACAGGGGTTGTTCCCTCGACGGCTGGAGAGAGCGCAGCTGCCTGGCTTTACAGTACCAGAAAACCACAGGCACACAGGTGGATACAAGTAAATAAATGACAACAGACATAAGGACTCACTAACCACAGCATCATGCATCTCGCTCTGCGCGACGCCTGTGAGCTTTTAAACATCTCGTATCACAGAGTGGAGGCTTTAATGACACTGATTGACAAAGTTGAATAAAAAGAGCATAATATAGCTATTTACAATATTATCACACCATCACAGCCTGTGTGTGGATTGGTGTTAACACACACACACACACACACACACACACACACACACACACACACACA